CAGGCATCGGTCAGCCACACCGCCTGTATCCCAATTTATGTTTCAGAGGCTGAGGCAATGAGAATCCATTTGAACCCAGGAGACAAGAGGATGTGGTGGAGCAGATCACACCACTGCCCTCCACCTGGGTGACAAAAGTGAGACTCTGTCATTAAAAAAATAAATTTTAAAAAAAAACGCTTCTAGAAATAAGGATATACCGAAAAACGAAAAAATATTTGATCGGGCGCGGATGCGCTCACACCCTGTAATCCTGGCATTTTGGGAGGCCCAAAGTGGCGCGGGATCCCTGAGGTCAGGAGTTGCGAGACCAGCACTGACCAATAGTGGAGAAACCCCATCTCTACTAAAAATACAAAACTAACCAGGTGTGGTGGTTCATGAGCCTGTAAGATCCCAGCTACTTAGGGGAGGCGTGACAGGGGCAGTGAAGAATCGCTTGAATCTGCGGAGGTGAGGTCTGGGGAGTGAGCCAAGATTTGCCACTGCCAGCCTCCAAGCCTGGGCCACCAAGAGCAAAACTCGTCTCAAAAATAAAATTTTTTTTTTGTACACGTCTTTTTAATGTGTTTGTGTGGTTACGTATTATTACAAAAGAGTTTAAAAGTTAAAAAAATTAAAAAGTTTATAAAGCAAAATAATTACAGTATGATAAGGTTAATTAATTATTGAAGAAAGAAAAACATTTTTTTGTTGTTGTTGAGATGGAGTCTCCCTCTTTCGCCCAGGCTGGAGTGCAGTGGCTAGATCTCGGCTCACTGCAAGCTCCCTACCTCCTGGGTTTACGCCATCCTCCTGCCTCAGCCTCCCGAGTAGCTGGGACTACAGGTGCCCTCCACCACACCCGGCTAATTTTGTTTTTGTATTTTTAGTAGAGACAGGGTTTCACCATGTTAGCCAGGATTGTCTCGATCTCCTGACCTCGTGATCCATCTGCCTCGGCCTCCCAAAGTGCTGGGATTACAGGTATGAGCCACCACGCCCAGCCAAGAAAAACATTTTAATTAATTTAGTGTAGTCTAAGTGTATGGTACATATAGAGTCTACAGTGGTGTATAGTAATGTCTTGGGCCTTCCTATTCATTCACCAATCACTCACTCACTCACTCACTCACTCACTCACTCACTCAATCACTCAGAGCTACTTCCATTCCTATGGTAAGTGTACCATTTTAAAATCTTTTATACTGTATTTTAGATATGTTTAGATACATAAATACCCGTTGTATTATAATTATCTATAGTACTCAGTATAGTATTATACAGTACAGGATCGTAGCCTAAGAGGAATAGGCTATACCATACAGCAATGGCATGTGGTAGGCAATACTATTTGTTTGTGTAAATATACTCTTATGATGGTCATACAATGATGAAACTGCCTAACAACACATTTCTCAGAATGTATCCCTGTTGTTCAGTGGTGCATGACTGTATTAGAAAACCATTAATATAAAAACCAATATCTAATAAGGCCTACAAACAAATTTAATTATATAAAGAAACTTTGAATACATTTGTACACATTATAGGTATGGTGCCAAATTTGCCCTGTTTAATGAATTGAGTGAAATAAATGGGTCTGATCAGTTTGTTACAATGGAAAGATTTTGTTGTGGGATAACTGAGGGCTCTGAAACCTCCCAACAATCCACTAACACTGCCCCCTCCAAAGTTGATTTCTATGGGAAAACACAATTTTGGCATTTAGTTTGGAATGCCTGTATATCTGGTTGTCCAACTGCAGCAAGAGTCTTGGCAATTCGCGCCCTGACAGCACAACCATGAAATATACTAAGGTATTTAGAAAGAGCCATTTGAAAAAAGGAGAGCATAAAGAGAATCCAGGGGAAATACTTTTTAACCAGAAGGCCATAGTTTTGGACATCACCAAGCAGGTATGATGCAGAAACACTGGATTTGGGGTTTAAATGGCAGAGCTAGGCTGGGTGCAGTGGCTCACACCTGTAATCCCAGTACTTTGGAAGGCCGAGGCAGGCGGATCATGAGGTCAGGAGTTTGAGACCAGCCTGGCCAACATAGTGAAACCCGTCTCTACTAAAAATACAAAAAAATTAGCCAGGTGTGGTGGTGGGCGCCTGTAATCCCAGCTACTTGGGAGGCTGAGACAGGAGAATTGCTTGAACTTGAGAGGTGGAGGTTGCAGTGAGCTGAGTTTGCGCCACTGCACACCAGCCCAGGCGACAGTGGGAGACTCCGTCTCAAAATAAAATAAAAAGTTAAAAAATAAAAATAAAAAAAATTAAAAAAATTAAATAAAAGGCAGAGCTGGGTATTTCTCCACAGCATAAGTAGTCTTCTGAATATTTAAAGAATAAGGTTTAGGGAAGACCATCTCTGTTTCCATTTTAAGTTAAATGCTGATAACTCAATAAAGATACTTGTCACTATTTGTAAGAAGAGATAGCAAAGGATAAGTAATACTGTACTCTTTCACCAGATTAACTGACTCTAGCCCAATATCCAAATAAGAAATAGTATGGAAAATACACATTCTGTTTTACACAAATGTACTCCCCAATACAACAGTCTATTTAAAAAACAGTTTACAAAATCACATCATGGAAACAGTATTTCCCTGGCCCACCCTGACCCTCTTTGGGCAATGCCCCTCTGCAAGAGATGAGGAATCTATTAGACCAATAGGATACGTCCATCTGCTTACCAAACCCCACTTCTACGCCATTGTCCAAGTATAGGGACTCAGAGACTCCTTGCCCTAACAGTCCTGAGCCTGTTGTCTGAGCCTGCAAAGGCCTCTTCTTTAGGCATACTGCAGACCCAATGTACATATTACTAGGCCTCTGGGTGGTCAATGGGCAGCTGTTTGGGCACGTGGTATGGACAGAGTTTCAATGCGGGGCTAAAGTGTTGGCATGCATGTGTTAGAAACTCTAACTGGTGTGGGAAGGAGCTGAAGGTAAGACGATAAAAGGGTATGTCATATGTCAGCTCCCCAGACACTCAATATTCTGTGTAGAATTTTTTTTTTTTCTTTTCTGAGACAGAGTTTCGCTCTTTTTGCCCAGGCTGGAGTGCAATGGCATGATCTCGGCTCACTGCAACCTCCATCTCCCGGGTTCAAGAGATTCTCCTGCCTCAGTCTCCCAAGTAGCTGCGATTACAGGTGCCTGCCACCATGCCTGGCTAATTTTTGTGGTATTTTTAGTAGAGATGGGGTTTCACCATGTTGGCCAGGATAGTCTTGATCTCTTGACCTCGTGATCCACCCGCCTTGGCCTCCCAAAGTGCTGGGATTATAGGCGTGAGCCACTGCACCAGGCCATTCTGGTGTAGAATTCTTAGGAGTCAAAAAGTCTACATTTCAACCTGCCCTTCCAGCTGATGACAATATACTTGTGAAAGTAAAAGGAAAGAATGTATATTATATAATAAGTTTGTTAGCTTGCTTTATAACATAAATATTCACACATCTACAGTCTTGTTCTAGGTCCAGTAAATGTTAGGAATGAACATGTGTACTAAAAACTGCCATAAAAAAAATGTATCTTTTTTTTTTTTTTTTCTGAGACGGAGTCTCACTCTGTCGCCCAGGTTGGAGTGCACTGGCGCAATCTTGGCTCACTGCAAGCTCTGCCTCCCAGGTTCACGCCATTCTCCTGCTTCAGCCTCCTGGGTAGCTGGGACAACAGGCGCCCGCCACCACGCCCAGCTAATTTTTTTGGTATATTTAGTAGAGACGGGGTTTCACCCTGTTAACCAGGATGGTCTCGATCTCCTGACCTCATGATCTGCCCGCCTCAGCCTCCCAAAGTGCTGGGATTACAGGCGTGAGCCACTGCGCCCGGCAAAAATTGTATCTTCTTAATGTTCATTATTGTATTTGAGTTGATTTTATTGAGAGCGCTTACTGATAATTTCTTACCTGTTCTTTCACTGGAGTATTAACATTAGACAGGCACTGCTGGCAAACAGCCAAAAAGGATTTCACTGTTTTCCTCAACACCAACAAATCCTCCTGTAAGACACATTCAAATTTGCAAGAATGAATTACAGGATCACAGAAAACTGATCTAGAAGAAACAATAAGTGGAAAATAGCAAAACTGGTTTATTCTCAAGGAAATTCATATAACCAAATTTAAATGTTGGGAACCATTTAATGTAGTCATTTCTTAGTTATCTGTCCCAATAGAAGGGGCAGTGACACTGACACTCTGAAACAGAGTTAGCTATGGAATACTCAGTATGATTGCTTTCAACAAATTTCCTTTATAAATATGGTTTACTTAGGTTGATAAAGATTGTTAGTCATTCCTGTGACACACATTACTGCTAGTAAAGTGAGGCGGCAGAGCAGCACACTGAAAAAACTCAATTAGGCAACAAATGTGTACTTAATTTATCTTATATTCTCTTATATCTCAGCACTCTGCAAAATGTCAGGGGAAGAAAGATAAATGTAAGACAGTGCCATGCCCTCAAATAGTTAACATTCTAGCAGACAGACCAATTACGGAGATGAAGTTATTGTATTAACTCTAACTGTAGCAGAGTTGGAGAAATCTTCATAGGAGGATGGGCTTTAATCTAAGGTTGGATGGGTAAACAGATTTAATTAGATGGCCACATAAGATTCCATAAGGAACATTTGAAAAGTCCAAAAGGAAATTTCAAGTCAGGTGCAGTGGCTCATGCCTGTAATCCCAGTGATTTGGGAGGCCCAGGTGAGAGGATTGCTTGAATCCAAGAGTTTGAGACCAGTGTGGGCAACACAGAAAGTTCACTGCGCACGGTGGAGAATGCCTGTAGTCCCAGTTACTGGGGACGCTGAGGTAGGAAGATCACTTGAGCCCATGGGGTCAAGGCTGAAGTGAGACATAATTGTGCCACTGCATTTTAGCCTGGGTGACAGAGCAAGACCTTGTCTTAAAATTTTTTAAATTTATCGAGTGCCTACAACCCACCAGGCACTGGTTTAAGGGCTTACTATTATATAGTTTAGTATTTATATTGATCCTAAGAAACAGTAATTATTAGCAAGGGGTTGAAACTAGGACTATCTGATATAAGAGCTCATATTCTTCTCACTGACTAATGAGTAAGACACATGCAGATACCAACATTTAAAACAGCAATGAAGACTAATTATCTGAGCAAAGGCTAATGTAGAAACACTTAAAAAGTACTCAACTAAAACTCTTTAAGCTACTCTATTTTATACAGATGACAGCAGTGAGTCTTTTTGGGGATCTTTACATCCCAAATAATGACACTTCAAAAATTACATACATATTTCCTTTTGCTAACATGAGGGTAGTATGTGTAAGAAGGAGCCAGTTTATCTTGTGCACAGCAGTAAAAAGGACACCCTCTTGAGAACTTTTCATGTTTCTGCAGATAAATATCTAATAACTAAACTTCAACATTCCTGAAACTTCTTTAATTTTAAACATTCAAAATACATTGAAGGAAACAGATGAGGGAACAGGCAACTACAATATAGTGTAAGGAGTGCTATGGTAGGAGAAGACATGGGCCCCATGTTGGAAAACTTAAGTCAGAGTCAAAAGTAGTCATGAAAGAGTTCCCAAAGAAGATAACATGTAAGCTGAGTCCTGAAGGAGAAAAATAATCTAGCTACAGAAAAAGGTATCCCAGGTAATGCATAGATATTCAAAAGTGCAGAGGTGGCTAGGTGCGGTGGCTCATGCCTGTAATCCCAGCACTTTGGGAGGCTGAGATGGCCAGATCACCTGAGGTCAGGAGTTCGAGACCAGTCTGGCCAACACGGTGAAACCCCGTCTCAATTAAAAATACAAAAATTAGCCAGGTGTGGTGGTGCATGCCTGTAATCCCAGCTACTGGGGAGGCTGAGGCAGGAGAATGGCTTGAACCTGGGAGGTGGAGGTTGCAGTGAGCCGAGATTGTACCATTGCACTCCAGCCTGGGCAACAGAGCAAGACTCTATCTCAAAAACAAAAAAACAAAAACCAAAAAAAAAGTGCAGAGGTGCTTCTGAGGAACTGTTAATTTATTGTAGTGTAGCTGGGGTATAAATAGGGAAGACAGCAGCAAGAAAAAAAGCTAAAGAGGAATAAAACCATTTGCATTTACATAGAAGACCATTTAAAATATCAGTTAAGTCATTTGGATATTGTCCTGCTGGCAATAAGGAACTACTGAAGAAGGATTTTTAGCATGAGAGTGCTAAAATTTTGTGTAAATGACTCATTCTAAACACAATGGAGAATGATGTCCAATAGGTCAGTTAGAGTAGCACATCTTTCATTGAGAGCTTATATGCACCACATACTGTGTTCCCAGGACTATAAATTTACATTTCATCATCACTCTACAAAGTAAATTGCAATATTCCTGTTTTACAGACAAGAAAACTGATATTCACAGCACCCATAGATGCTAAGTGACAGAGCAAGGATTTAAACATGGGACTCCCTGACTCTAAAGTCCATGTTCTTAATCATTACTGTGTATTTTATTGCATATTAATAAAGGCCATACGATTTTTTTTTTTTTTGAGATGGAGTCTCGCTCTGTCACCCAGGTTGGAGTGCAGTGGTACGATCTCGGCTCACTGCAGCCTCCGCCTCCAGGGTTCGAGCAATTCTGCTGCCTCAGCCTCTCGAGTAGCTGGGACTACAGGTGCGCACTGCCATGCCTGGCTAATTTTTATATTTTTAGTAGATAAGGGGTTTCACCACGTTGGCCAAATGGTCTTGATCTCCTGACCTCGTGATCAGCCAATCTCGGCCTCACAAAATGCTGGGATTACAGGTGTGAGCCACTGTGCCCAGCCAGGGATAATTTAGAATAAGGGCCTGAAAATAAAATATTGGCTCTAAAGATGTGGATGGATGAAAGATAAAGCACTAGAACTGATAGAATTTAGGGAGTAATCGGGTAGAGGCTGCTGCTGATTACTCCTTAATTTCTAGGGAGCTGCCTACTAGATGAATTGTGGTATTAAGTCATCAAGATAAAAAACACAGGAACAGGCCAGGCATAGTGGCTCACACCTGTAATCTGAGCACTTTGGGAGGCTGAGACTGGCGGATCACCTAAGGTCAGGAGTTCAAGACCAGTCTGGGCAACATGGTGAAACCCAGCCTCTACTAAAAATATAAAAATGAGCCAGGCGTGGTGGCAGGCGACTGTAATCCCAGCTACTCAGGAAGCTGAGACAGGAGAGTCCCATGAATCCAGGAGGCGGAGGTTGCAGTGAGCTGAGATTGCACCACTGCACTCCAGCCTGGGAGACAGAGTAAGACCCTGTCTCAAAACCAAAAAACAAACAAACAAAAAACAAAAAACAACAAAAAAAGGAACAAATGCAGTGATAGCTAAATTTTAGAGATGACGATTTTGAGATCCCTAATAGATATCTTGAAGATGTCTAGTAGGCAGCTGCGTATGTGAGTTCAAAGCCCAAGAGAAAGAATATGAGTCAGAAGAAGGATTTGGAAGTCTTCAGCATTTAGATGGCAACAGATGTGACAGAAGTGGATGAGACTGCTCAAGGAGAATACACAGAGAAAGGTGACAGTGAGTATCCTGGGAAATACCAATATTTGAAAGACGAATGACAAAGAAGAACTTATGAAGAAATCTAAGAAATTATCTGAGAAGTAGAAATAAAATCAGGAGAATATGGTATCCCGGAGGTAAGAAAACATTAAAAAAATGAATAATTAACAATGACAAATGCCACAGAGAGATAAAAGAGATAAGGATTAAAAGTGCCCCAGGAATATAGCAACTATGAAGCTGTGGGTGACCTTGGGGAAAGCACTTTCAATAGAGTTATGAGTGCTGAGTCAAGACTGCAGTGAGCTGAAAGGAAGATAAGTAAGAAGTCAGCTCCTTCAAAAAAGTATGATTATAAAAAGTCAGTGAAAAATAGGATGGGGCTGATAGAAGTCTGCAGGTTGATGATGGATTTTTTTGGTCACTCTTGACCTTTTTAAGAGAAAAGATTTGAGAATGTTTGCTGAATGAATAGTAACTAAAAGAACAAAAAGCAAGCAATGCTATTAACTAGCTATGTGATCTTAGAAAAATTATCTTACATCTCAGGATTGAAGAGTTTTAAAATCTATAAACAAGAGAGTTGAACTAGGTATTCTGAGGTTCTATGTTAACTCTGATTCTGCTAAATTAACTCTAGGAAACTCAAATGAGAACAGATAGTTGTCAACCTGTAAACCTTCCAGTATTCAAAGGAACACTGTTCCATTGTTAGTACCTAAAATAGTGCTTTACATATACTAGGTATTTAATAAACAGTTACCAAATGAAATGTTGGTATACTTAATATGGATGTTTACCACAATCCTAGGGGCAACTTATAATGTGTTCACTTCATCAAACAATAAATAATTACTGGGTTTTTAAGAAATGATGCTAGGAGTTACTAATGTTCCTTTACTCCCTCAGATTTCTTGATTAATATGTAAGAAAGTATAGGGAATCAATCAGTCATCTTAGGAGTTGGAGGCAAAAGATTCCTTTAAAGGTTGAGCACAAAGCAAACGTGTCTTATATACAATGATTACTTCCCAAAACATCTAAAGAGTAGTACATTTAATACGACAAATAAGTAAGCAATCTACTGATGAACAGTAGTATTTTAAGAGACACTGGAAAAACCGTGAAACAACCAAGGAAACCAGAAGAAATCTAAAGGCTTTTTTTTTTTTATTGGAACAGAGTTTTGCTCCTTATCACCCCAGGCTAGAGTGCAGTGGTGCTATCTCGGCTCACTGCAACCTCCGCCTCCTGGGTTCAAGTGAATTCTCCTGGCTACAGCCTCCTGAAAAGCTGGATTACAGGTGCCTGGCCGCCATGCCCAGCTACTGTTTTTTTTTCTTGTATTTTTAGTAGAGACGGGGTTTCGCCATGTTGACCAGGCTGCTCTCGAACTCCTGACCTTAGGTGTCCACCTGTCTTGCCTCCCAAAGTGCTGGAATTACAGGCATGAGCCCAACTGTGCCCCAGC